TGAAGCATGGTGTCACTTCGCTCTTCGGCAAATTGTGGAAGTCGCATGAAGAAGAGCAGCACCATGTCCTTCAGCGACTGTTCCGCCGAGCGACGCAGCAGTTCACTTAGCCTCGGCTCGAAGCAGATCTTGAAGCAGCTGAGCATCACCTCGCACATGGACTCATTGCTGACGGCAGCACCCTCGGGACTGCGGATAAGCGTGTGCAGCACCTCAATCACTCGCATAAAGGTGACACCATCCGAGGACTGATCGGTGCCCATGAAGCGGGCATGTGTCACAGCATCGGCAATGCGCTCCACGATGTCAGCCAGATTTGGAGATGTGGGATCTGTGGATAGGTAGAAATTGAGCAACTGGAGGCGGTTAAGCACTAAGTTGAATCACCTATTAGCCCGTAGGACAAGAATTTATTAACCGAGGACAGAGCCAGACTAGTCAACGGACCCGTGGTGTCCGCTGTACGAATCACCTCTAGAAACGGAGCCAGGAAGACCTGAGGTTCGATTAGACGCAGGTCCTCGATCCGATTTAACTCATGCTTAAGGTCAATGAACAGCTTTAGCAGCGAGTCCTTCTCGTCGTCCTGTGGGTGGGGAAAATGTGTCATTACTTTCTACTCCCAGTGAGCATTAGGAGCACTAGTTACCACGTAGGCGGTGGCATTCCAACGTGTTCCACGTCGCATGGCCGTCATTAGGGTGGCCATTTCGCCCCGCACCACGTAGATGCCATTTCCTGGAAGCGCCATGGTGTCCGGGTGTCCTCCGATGCGGCTCTCCGACTGCAGCTAGTTGGCTTCCAGTTCCAGGGCTAGCGCAGAAAATTGCAGTTTTCGTGGGGCAGGGCAGCTCCTCCTCCCTTTCGACCTTCGCATATGTTTTTGCACTCGCCACTAGCCCAATCGCACACTGACGCAGCCTGGACGAATCTGGGCGCGCTGCCTAGTTGAACATCTCTCACTAATCCTAACTAATCGAACTGGATGGCTGCTAATTTTTGGTGACGTTTACGTGTCGTTTATGTTCTTGTGTGCAGCCCGAATATTTTGCACTAACGTCTTCCAACACCGGCGCGACACTTCGTCGCTTCGCAGCACTGGTAGTGCCGTAGTTGCCAACTCTATTCGTTAATTTAAAAAGATTAAAATAATATACATTTGCAAAGTCATGAAAATATGAACTTGTTTTTCAAATAAAATATGTAGCCAAGCTGATTCAAATAATCAAATCACACGATTATTGAATATGAAGCCCAAAACAGGTAAAAATATCAGTCACGCACCCATCTCCAGTCGTGAGCGCTGAACCCACCTCTAAGTTACTTCGGCAATTGGTGCGTAGGCGAATTTCTAATTGGAATTGTTGGATTTTTGAAAAAGAATCGCATTAAATGCAAAGCACTCTTGTTTCAGACTACTGCGGACACTTGCACTGAGGCAACCGAGCACGGGGCAGGTGGATTTACAGGACTCAGCGATACCAAAGCAGCCCACAGGCCGAACAATATGGGAAACACGGACTCCAAGTTGAACTTTCGCAAGGCGATTGTGCAGCTGACGCAGAAGAACCAGAAGATCGACCCCAGCGATGAGCAGTTCTGGGAGCAGTTCTGGCAGGGCCACCAGACGACGCTGGAGGATGTGTTCGCGCTGGTCACCTCAAGCGAGATTCGCCAGATCCGCAACGAGAATCCAGCGAACCTGGCCACCTTATGCTACAAGGCGGTGGAGAAGCTCGCCCAGGCGGTGGACAGCAGTTGTCGCACTCAGGCGGAGCAGCAGTGCGTTCTGAACTGTGTCCGCCTGCTAGTCCGGTGTCTGCCCTACATTTTTGAGGACGAAAAGTGGCGCGACTTCTTCTGGAGCAGCCTGCCGTCGCAGGATAAGACCATGCCGTTGGCTCAGTCACTGCTCAATGCCACCTGCGACCTGCTCTTCTGTCCCGACTTCACGGTTACGGCCACGCGCCGTACTGGCCCGGAGAAGGCCGAGGAGCTGGCGAACATCGATAGCTGCGAGTACATTTGGGAGGCGGGCGTGGGATTCGCCCAGTCACCGCCCCACAACGCCCATATGGAGCGCAGGCGCACGGAGTTGCTAAAGCTATTGCTCACCTGCTTCTCGGAGCCCATGTACCGATCGCCCCAACAGTCTGAGGAGCCCAACAAGTGGATAGCATACTTCACCTCTGCGGACAATCGCCATGCCCTGCCCTTGTTCACCTCGTTTCTGAACACCGTGTGCTCCTACGATCCTGTGGGCTTCGGTGTGCCCTACAATCACCTGCTGTTCGCAGATACCACGGAGCCACTGGTGGAAGCGTGCCTTCAACTGCTTATTGTCACCTTGGATCACGACATGGTGGTGCAGCAGCAGCTCACACAACCCGGACAGGCGTCCTATGACGAGGGCAATTGCGGCGACAACTTGTTCATCAACTATCTGTCCAGAGTTCACCGGGATGAGGACTTTCACTTTGTGCTCAAGGGCATCACCAGGCTGCTGAACAACCCACTGGTCCAGAATTATTTGCCCAATTCCACAAAGCGACTGCATTGCCACCAGGAGCTGCTTATATTGTTCTGGAAAATATGCGACTACAACAAAAAGTTTCTGTATTTTGTGCTGAAGAGCTCCGATGTTCTGGATATCCTGATTCCTATATTGTATCACCTAAACTACTCCAGAGCGGATCAATCGCGAGTGGGCTTAATGCATATTGGAGTATTCATACTGTTACTCCTATCGGGTAAGTCATATGTGAAATTTTGTGCGTGAAATCAATACATTTAAATTAATGCTTATTGATAGGTGAGCGAAACTTTGGGGTTCGCCTTAACAAAGCTTACTCCGCCACGGTGCCCATGGATATACCTGTGTTTACTGGAACCCATGCGGACTTGCTGATCACAGTGTTCCACAAAATAATAGCCACTGGCCACCAGAGGCTGCAGCCGCTTTTCGATTGTCTGCTGACCATTCTGGTCAATGTCTCTCCATATCTGAAAACCCTTTCGATGGTAGCTAGTGTGAAGATGTTGCATCTCCTAGAGGCCTTCAGCACGCCATGGTTCCTGCTATCGGCACCCAGCAATCATCACTTGGTGTTTTTCTTGCTGGAGATCTTCAATAACATTATACAGTATCAATTTGATGGAAACTCGAATCTAGTCTACACCATTATTCGAAAGCGTCATGTGTTCCATGCCATGGCAAACCTCCCGACCGATATGGCTGGCATAGCAAAGTGCCTGAGTGGCCGCAAAACAGGTGGAAAGTTCAACTTGCCGCGTGTACCGCAGAGGAGAACGGCAGCTGTGTCCCAGGAATTGCCCTCGGCCCATGTGCCAGAAGAGTACAACGAAGAAGACGATGATGAAGATGAGGAGGAGACAATTAATGAAGAGCCCAAGGCGGAAGAAGATCTCGAGTCTGAGACAGAGTCCCATGAGCGATCTCAGGCGGGGGAACTGCAGCCGGACATTCTCACAGCGCAGCCAGCCGAGCCAGGAACACTGAAAACGTCCTTGCTGGATACTCCTGGCATAAGTCAGATGACGGAGCGGGAGCAGGCGCATCCGAATGACAAGCCACAGGTGGAGGATTCTACGGACATTGTGCCCTACGACAGGTCAGCCGCATCGACGCCAACTGACGAACGCAAGTCCACCTCACCCACTGAACTGTCCCGTTTGTCGGTGGCTCACAGAGCCAGTATTCGCATGGTGCCTGGCGAGAGCGATCGTTGGACGCCCACGCCCGAGTGGATCGTCTCCTGGCGCTCCAAGCTGCCACTGCAGACCATCATGCGACTGCTTCAGGTCTTGGTGCCCCAGGTGGAAAAGATTTGCATTGACAAAGGACTGACCGACGAGTCGGAGATCCTCAAGTTTCTGCAGCACGGTACGTTAGTGGGACTGCTCCCCGTGCCGCATCCAATTCTCATCCGGAAGTATCAGGCCAATGCGGGAACAACGGCATGGTTCCGCACCTATATCTGGGGTGTCATATACCTGCGCAACGTAGAGCCCGCCATCTGGTACGATACGGAGGTCAAGCTCTTCGAGATTCAGCGTGTTTAGGTCAGTATATGGACACCCAGCCACGTTGCAGCGAACTCGTAGCTTACACGCTTTGGCATTTATTGTAGTTAATTTATTTAGTACATTTTTCATTCCAAATGTCTTTGTGAAAAATCAGAGTGTAGTGAACTACCTTTCCCAAATGTTCGCTTATCGGCACCACAAAAATGAATCATTAGTTACGATGTGGCATGAGTTCAATTCAACAGATTTCTTATCGGCTTTTAGCATTGATATTTAATTGCTTTCCTAATAGTTAGGTTGAAGAGTTTTTTGAAAACAGTATAAGCACAAAGTGTTTCTATTTTAGTTGGAGACTAAATTATTAAACAACTCATGTTTTTTGTAATCTGTGACAGAAAATGTTCCTCGTGCCGTATTTGGATTACATGGCTTTATTTATTTATTATTTTAGTAATTTAACAACCTCTTTTAACTTATGTATTTGAAGGATTTTACTGCTAAATTTGTATGCTTTTTCTGCTGATAAACTTTTTAATCAATTTTAATAAATTACTTTCACTCAGCCACTCTACAAACGATTTGCTTTATAATATATAAATTATTTAAAATTTGTAGTTGCCTCTATTGACACCATAAAAAGCTTTATGTTCTCTTGTAATAATTAGGAAACTTTAGTTGAGTCCAATAAACTACTTTGTAACTTTAAATCAATATAGATATTAATGGTAGATTCGAGAATATGTATTAATTTACTGTCTATGTGTGCTTATAAACTGTATACACAAACATTAACTAAACTTATGACAACTATACAAGTCAGTTTATAAAAATCATGTACGAAATAAACAAGAACCCAAGAGAAGAAAGAATTGTGTTTCATGTCATAAAACAATATGAAAGTTGTATTTGTATTTAGATGGCGTTCAATTTATTAAAATTGTGAAGTATTGGGCCACATGAAAGTTACTAAAAAGCAGTTTCAACATTAATCGCTTTTACATTTTTGTAGCTTGGGATCGCGGTAGGCAGAAAGGACATCATGATTTCTTTTCCGCTTCTTCAGTCGGTCTTCTTGCTCTCGTTTCTCCAATATTTTCACCAAATGCTGATGCCAGTAGAAGTATTTGAAAAAAAATAATAGAAGTAGTGCCGAGGTGGTAACAACAGATGCGGTGCTGATCTCGACGGGCCTCTCACGTTCTTTTTTCACTCTTTCCGAGAATTGGCGGGTGGATATTCTCAGGCCGAAAGTGGGTTTGTCCGCCGCAACGGTGTGCTGCGGTAGTTGTCACGACTGGAGTGGGTTGGGAGTGGATGTGGATGTGCCTACTGGTGGCGGAGCTACTGGAATTATGGTGAACTTGATGAACGCGCTCTTGCTGCGCCTTTGCACTATTCTGCCAATTAATTGTGGTTCCTTAATGGTCTGTTCGATGGCCTTTACTATGCGCTCGCCGCTGCTCTCGTCCGATCCACTTGCACTGCCCTGTATGAGGATGCGAACCTCGTGTCGCTTGGCCAGCCACTTGACAATATTCTTGAGTCTGGATGAGAGATCGTGCTCCGTGATGCGCGCACCAATGGTAAGGGACTTCTCCGTTTTCTTTTCCTTAACTTTTTCGCTGGGTGATCTCGACTTCTCCGCATCATCCGACAGCATTTCCGCTGCAGTGACTAGTCTGCAAGGTATCGCAACTTTATAACAATGACAACGACTCGATGATCTACGTATATACCCACTTAAACATGGCCCTTCCCGTTTTGGTATCTGCTTGCTCCAAGCGCAACAGGTGCAGCTCCCGTCGTTTGGCCACCTTCTGGGCCTCCTCCAACGTGGTGATGCTCATCGACTGATTCTGTTGGATGAGTGTGATTTTCTGGACACTCGCCTTCGGACTCCGGGTGTCTCTTGTTCTACTTTCTCCTGGGCTTCCACCCACCGGCTTTTGATTCTGGGACAAGCTCCAGTGGATGGACAAAGGGCGCAGGTGTTGCTGCTGATTCGCTGCTGCTGCAGCATGGCTTAGAATCACTCTTAAGCGTTGCATGTTCGTCTTTGAAATATGTTTTTATGTCCTTTGGTTATTTCCGATTTTCTTTTGCTTGTGCAATTTTCTGTCTAAGAGTTGTCAAGCAGTGTGAAGCACTAAAGCTGTATTTTCTTTTCCAACTGTTTTAGCAGGGAAGTATCAGCTGACGGCTGGATTTATCGATAATTCAAACCGCCAATAACAATAGAATTTAAAAAGAAATTTCGTAGTCGTAGTATGTGTTTTTTTTCGAGCGAAAAATAAGGCGGATAAGGTGAAAAACAGCCAGGATCAGAGCATTCCCTGAGGTGTCTTCAAAATATAAGGGGTTTTCCTCCAGAAAACCGATAAGAACATAAAAAATCGATTGCTCGCGTGACACATGAATTCTAAAATTTTGTTTTCTCTTTTTAGATTGGGTGTTTAAGAAGCCGAGCGGAATCGACTTCAGTTCAAAGAAGGGCCATCACGATGAAATTACAGGTGAGTGGATTGTTCTGTTAAAAGCTATTCAAGCATTAAGTGTTTTTATCCTTTAGTTGTTCCTGCTTGCCTTGTTGGTTTGCTGTTTCGTCAGAAATATACATACGCATTGGTGTATATCACATGTACTTACTGAAGGGCGTTCTAAGAAAATATTTCGGTTCCAAGCATATCCGTGCAAAAAAAATCGTGTAAAGCGAGACGCATTGGGTGGATCAATATTTCAAGAAATGTAAATCGAATATTTTTTGAATTTATAACGATCATTTACAATTAATAAAACTACAAACGAAGTTTATTTATTAATAGTTGAAATGGAGCTAAGGCAAAGCTTAAAGTACAAAAATAATATAATTATAATATAAAAAAGTTTAGGTTGAGAGAAAAAATGTTAGAACATTCGATTTGGTATTTTGATACCCTACTCGTAAAGTCATAGGATATACTAGATTGGGAAGTATGTGCCAGGTAGAAGGAATCATTTCCAACAATACATATAAAGTATCAGATTCTTGATCAGAATCCATACGCGAGTAGATCTGGCCATGTCCGTCTGTCCGCATGAACGTCTCGATCACATGAACTATTAAAGCTAGAAAGTTGTGAAGCATGTTTCCAAATGTGGGCACGCCCACTTTAACGATCACAAACTGAACAAAATTGCAACACCCACAATTTTAAAAATATTGTTGTCTTTTGTTTTTCATTTTATTATCAGCTTAGTCAATTTCTATAGGTATGCCAAAACAATGTTGAAATTTCTCGTTCGCACTCCCACAAGCTGAGTAATCGGATAGTTGGGGAACTCGACTATAGCGTTCTCTCTTGTTATTAAATTAGATTTCTTATAAGTGACACACGACCACGTTAGCGATAAAAACGAAAAGGTTTTGAAACCTCTTTAAACGAGTTACTCGACTATCAGGTACCCGTTATTAAGCTTGTGGGACTGCGAAAGAGAAATTTAAATTTTTCTTTCGAATATCTGTAGAAAGGAGAATAAAATAAAAATAAAATAAAATGTGTGGGCGTGGCAACATCAGGAAAATATTCCAAAATGCCAAAAATATTCGATATGCCGATAACATTTTTGATAAGCCCACTCCAACGACCAACATTGAGAAATGTTTGAATTTGTGTTTATTGTATAATTTGTCTTGGGAATTTATACTGGTATGCTAAATAAACAACGAGAATACGTCATCCTTAAAACTTTTTAAAATTGTTTTATTTTTTAAAATATTTTTGGAGCAATTCCATTAGTTGAGTAGCGGGTATCTTTCTCACTTGTTTTCACGAGAATGATTGCCGACTCAGAAATGCCATTCAAAATTAGGCATCTAGTTGCGTTGCGTGTATATATATTATATATTAATTATTATAAATAAATTATTATTTTTGCGTATAGCTTATAAATGCATAGAAGTTCTATTGTCCATTTGTATACCCATTAGTGGTAGAGTAAAAGGGCAGGGATATAGGGATATATATTTTTGATCAGGAATAAGTGCTGGAAGATTAATATTAAAGATGCAGGTTCTGGTGACCACACTTTAGAAAAAGTTGTGTACATATTTGGCGTTCATGTGATCAAAAAGCATGTAAAAACACGGCTTACAGGTGAGTTAACATCCCCATTTAACACAACGAAAGTAAAATGACCTATAGCTCATTTAAATGGTAAGTAACTAAATGTAGAATTAATTTCTAGTTCGATGTCTATAGTCGCCATAGTTGCGCCGGCGGTTTGATGCACGCTTTTCCTCCCGAGCCCGCTGCTCCGCCTGCCAAATGGCTCGGAAATGATCGCATTGGGACGAATTGGCGTGCTCCTGGTGCAGTGCAGCCATTTCCGGTTGACGGCACATCTCGCAATCCTCCCATCGCCTGAACTTGTTCACATTCCGATCGCACGGATCCGCGGCATACAGCATGCACTCATCCGCACAGAAGTTGTAGAACCAGAACTGACCCGTAATAGTTTGATCGTGGCAACGTGGCTCAGCCGTCTGAACCATTTGGAAGCAGCGGTAGGACAGCAAGGAGTCCACATCTCCTCCAGGTGTGTACTTGTTCTGACTGCCAAAGTAGTTCGCCTTTTGCCATGATTCCCTTGGCGAAACTTCTTCGGGGGCCTCTACTTTGGTGCCGTATTTATTGGAGGGCCTTTGTCGCTGCCAGGGAGCACGTTCCACATCCTCCAAGCGCGGATCATCGGGACGTGGCTGACCAGACCAAGTGGGCCGTTCTATTTTTTCTGTATGCTGGCGGGCCCTATCGTAGTTTGAAGACCCAGGCGACGGAACATCTCTACCCAAATTTGTCTGCCTGTTCAAGACCCAGTTGCCAGTGTTACCCTTAAGATTTCCCACTTCGAATCCACCAACTACTCCACTTCGTGAGTCATCGTAATCCCCGAAGTTCTCTGCCTCTGGTTGAAGTTGTGGTCCATACATATTACCTACAAAGCGTCCTCGAGATGAAGAAGCCCCACCATACGGATTATCCATGTCGTCGCTATAGGATCCTGGTATACTACCAAGACAATCTTGGCCGGAGCATTTTCGCGTTTCCTCCAGCTCCATGCGATGCACACTCTGGCACTCCAATTCTGCTTGAGGATTAAGGTACTGCCTCTGGCGCATCTCGTAACCATCCCCACAGGTTACACTACATGGGCTCCAGCTGCCCCAGGAACTCAATTGGCATTCGGCACGGCGTTGTTGGGGCGATTGATAGCCATTCCTCCTGGGGTCTGGCGCCAGGTCCTCAAATTCCTCCGGCTCCGGTATGAGATTATTTTGACCACACATGTCGCCCTGGCACTCGCGCTCCTCATACTGCGGCACATTGCAATTGTAGACTTTGGCGAGCTCTGGTTGCTTGTAGACACGTCTTCTATACTGCATGCCAGCCCCGCATTTGGAGGAGCAGTCGCTCCAACTGGACCACGGATGGGTAAAACATTCCCGGGGCACATCGGGATCGTTGTTGGCTGGGAAAATGATATGGCTTATTAACTTTTAGTTGTTCCTAACTAAAAGCCCACTTACAGTCCTCATCTGCACATCTTCTCTCGTAGATTCGCTGGCGCTTCACCGTCAGAATGGCCATGGGTTTCATGGGAGTTCCGGATTCATCGTAGAAAGGAGAGCGCGGATCATTCGGAAAGTCGGAACGCATGCGTCTAATGACATCTGGCGGAACCTGGGGCTGATCGGATGACTACCAGAAAATAAAGGTGAGTATTTTTGTTCTACCGAGCACTATTCATTCCCAATTACCGTATAGCTGGGACCCGAATCTGTGCCCACATCCCACGGATATAGGTTGATAACTTTTTCCTCCATCCATGTGCAGTTGCGCAGGCACAGTTCCAATCCAGTGACGCCCACAATCCAATCCGGCGAGGGTTCTATCTTGGAGGCAAAGGACACCATGTGGTGAATGGAATCTACTCGCACCGAGGCCATCGTCTTGCTGCTCATGTTGGGATACGATGGACCCCGTGCCTTAATGATCGTCCGTATTTTCTGATCCTGTAAAAAGGGGGGAAACGTGTAACATAGAGTACTTTCACCCAGTCCATCCAATCAGAGTCACCCGAAAATTGATGCTGAACTCTCGCTCCAGCAGTCGCGAACTACAATGTTCGGCATATTCCTTCATAGCCAAGCTGGCCAGTGCTCCGGATTCCCAGAAACGATAGTCTGAACTGTGGGCGGCTCCCAAAAGCTCACAGAAACGAGTCTCCCAGCCTCGAGCAGGGAAGTCCTTGGGATGCAGGTTCCTGGACCAAACGCCTTCAAATATAAGCTTATGGAAGGAAGATTGGAGAAGGTAATTGAGGCTTTGGTATTTCCGGAAGGACTCACCTCATAACGCGCCTCATCGCATGCACAGCAGGGAACATCCAACGCCGGAGCAGTTGGTTGGCTCTCCACATCATCGGTGACCTCCTCGCAGATGCGTTTCGTTAATCCGCCATCATCCATGTGCCACACCTCGCGATGCTGCTGAACTGTGGCCCGGATCAGGATGCAGCCACTGCCCGGCTCACTGGGCGCCACCCAAGTCAAGTGCATGTGCGTTTTGGAGTTCGTGTTCGTGTTCTCCACCATGTTGATGCAATTGGGACTGAACCGGGTCTCAATCACATCGCTCAGCTCAAAACGACCCAAGTCGTCGTTGTAGCTAAAGTCACCATTCTCGTTTTCCAGTGCCATGATAAAGCTGATGTAGCGGTGGCCATTGAAGGCATTAAGAGAGACTGAAAGAGAAAAGTCGAGTCGAGACTCGAGTCTCAGAACATAGAACAATCAAAGCCGGGCCCTTATCGGCGACCTTGAATTCGAACAAATTTGCAAAGTTTCGTGATATGCCTCTCTTTTGTTTACCAAACAATAAACATTGCGCGAGTTCAGACTTAGAATAATCCGAAAGCCCTGCGTCCGCGTCAATCACCTACTAAGTTCAAGCGCAAGGCCAGTTAACCCATTCATACTCACCGTTGTATTCCTGGCCGAGAATGTAAGTTTCCGGATTACCCGACACGCTTATCACAAAGTTCTCATCCACGGGGGACTTGGGCGAGCCCGTGTTCGCTGGGCGGCGCGTGCAGATCAGAGCGCTGACTCTGCCAATCACCAGGCACCCAAGCAAAAGAAGCTCCACGAGAGGAGCAGCACTTGACCACCACATGTTCCCTATGATAGAGGGTAGTTACCGCATGGAACCATTCGATGCGAGCGACTGTTTCAAACTGGGCGAAGATTCCGAACAATTAGTTAACCAGAAGGCGAGAAGAGAGGCTTCGGAGCCGAACAAAACCATCCGATAAGACAGAGCGTATTGTTTTTCTGACCCACTGATTCAAAAAGTCCATCGGAGCTCTTATCAGTCGACGATGCAGGAAAGCCGAAAAGTGGATTTCGCTCTTAAATACCATTTCAAAGAGAATTCAATCGACAAGATCTCTTGAAATGAAATTGCAATAAAAAAAACAAGATAGAATGCTATAGTCGAGTTCCCCGACTATCAGATACCCGTTACTCAGCTAGTGCAAGTGCAAACGATAAATTTCAAAGTTTTCTGAAGTATCCGTAAAAAGTGTGGAAAAATATCTGCGCCAGAAACATTTAGAAGTATCCGATTAAGATAAGTTGAGTTATGGAGTATAGAGCTTCAGCCTTGGGACATTTTTCAATTTCTTTGAATTTCTACAACATCATACATCAGAAAAATTAAAAAAAAAAAATGTATAAAAAATACTTTCTAAATTTGAATGCAGATTTTTAGAGAATTGCGCCAGAAAAATTTAGAGGTATGCCACTTCAAAATCCGATCAAAATAAGTTGAGCTATGGAGTTTAGAACTTCAGCCTTGGGACATTTTTTAATTTTAGTGAATTCCTATACCTGTATCACATCAGAAAAATTACAAAAATATTAAAAAAAAATAAATTTCTAAATTTGAATGCAGATTTTTAGAGAATTGCTCCAGAAACATTTTGAGGTATGCCACTTCGAAATCCGATCAAAATAAGTTGAGCTATGGAGTATAGAACTTCAGCATTGGGACATTTTTTTTCGAAATTTAGCAATATCATACATCAGAAAAATGACAAAAAATTTGAAAAAAAAAATTTTCTAAATTTGAATGCAGATCTTTAGAGAATTGCGCCAGAAACATTTAGAGGTATGCCACTTCAAAATACGATTAAGATAAGTTGAGTTATGGTGTTTAGAGCTTCAGCCTTAGGACATTTTTTAATTTTAGTGAATTTCTACAACATCATACATCAGAAAAATGACAAAAAAATTAAAAAAAAAAAAAAAATTTCTAAATTTGAATGCAGATTTTTAGAGAATTGCTCCAGAAACATATTGAGGTATGCCACTTCGAAATCCGATCAAAATAAGTTGAGCTATGGAGTATAGAACTTCAGCATTGGCACATTTTTTTTCGAAATTTAGCAATATCATACATCAGAAAAATGACAAAAAATTTGAAAAAAAAAAAATTTCTAAATTTGAATGCAGATCTTTAGAGAATTGCGCCAGAAACATTTTGAGGTATGCCACTTCAAAATCCGATCAAAATAAGTTGAGCTATGGAGTTTAGAACTTCAGCCTTGGGACATTTTTTAATTTTAGTGTATTCCTATACCTGTATCACATCAGAAAAATTACAAAAATATTAAAAAAAAATAAATTTCTAAATTTGAATGCAGATTTTTAGAGAATTGCTCCAGAAACATTTTGAGGTATGCCACTTCAAAATCCGATCAAAATAAGTTGAGCTATGGAGTATAGAACTTCAGCATTGGGACATTTTTTTTCGAAATTTAGCAATATCATACATCAGAAAAATGACAAAAAATTTGAAAAAAAAAATTTCTAAATTTGAATGCAGATCTTTAGAGAATTGCGCCAGAAACATTTTGAGGTATGCCACTTCAAAATCCGATAAAAATAAGTTGAGCTATGGAGTTTAGAACTTCAGCCTTGGGACATTTTTTAATTTTAGTGAATTCCTATACCTGTATCACATCAGAAAAATTACAAAAATATTAAAAAAAATAAATTTCTAAATTTGAATGCAGATCTTTAGAGAATTGCGCCAGAAACATTTAGAGGTATGCCACTTCAAAATCCGATTAAGATAAGTTGAGTTATGGTGTTTAGAGCTTCAGCCTTAGGACATTTTTTAATTTTAGTGAATTTCTACAACATCATACATCAGAAAAATGACAAAAAAATTGAAAAAAAAAATTTCTAAATTTGAATGCAGATTTTTAGAGAATTGCTCCAGAAACATTTTGAGGCATGCCACTTCAAAATCCGATCAAAATAAGTTGAGCTATGGAGTATAGAACTTCAGCATTGGGACATTTTTTTTCGAAATTTAGCAATATCATACATCAGAAAAATGACAAAAAATTTGAAAAAAAAAAAATTTCTAAATTTGAATGCAGATCTTTAGAGAATTGCGCCAGAAACATTTTGAGGTATGCCAATTCAAAATCCGATCAAAATAAGTTGAGCTATGGAGTTTAGAACTTCAGCCTTGGGACATTTTTTAATTTTAGTGAATTTTTATACCTGTATCACATCAGAAAAATTACAAAAATATTAAAAAACAATAAATTTCTAAATTTGAATGCAGATTTTTAGAGAATTGCTCCAGAAACATTTTGAGGTATGCCACTTCAAAATCCGATCAAAATAAGTTGAGCTATGGAGTATAGAACTTCAGCATTGGGACATTTTTTTTCGAAATTTAGCAATATCATACATCAGAAAAATGACAAAAAATTTGAAAAAAAAAAATTTCTAAATTTGAATGCAGATCTTTAGAGAATTGCGCCAGAAACATTTTGAGGTATGCCACTTCAAAATCCGATCAAAATAAGTTGAGCTATGGAGTTTAGAACTTCAGCCTTGGGACATTTTTTAATTTTAGTGAATTCCTATACCTGTATCACATCAGAAAAATGACAAAAATATTGAAAAAAAATATATTTATAAATTTGAATGCAGATTTTTAGAGAATTGCGCCAGAAACATTTTGAGGTATGCCACTTCAAAATCCGATCAAAATAAGTTGAGCTATGGAGTTTAGAACTTCAGCCTTGGGACATTTTTTAATTTTAGTGAATTCCTATACCTGTATCACATCAGAAAAATTACAAAAATATTAAAAAAAAAATAAATTTCTAAATTTGAATGCAGATTTTTAGAGAATTGCGCCAGAAACATTTTGAGGTATGCCACTTCAAAATCCGATAAAAATAAGTTGAGCTATGGAGTTTAGAACTTCAGCCTTGGGACATTTTTTAATTTTAGTGAATTCCTATACCTGTATCACATCAGAAAAATTACAAAAATATTAAAAAAAATAAATTTCTAAATTTGAATGCAGATCTTTAGAGAATTGCGCCAGAAACATTTAGAGGTATGCCACTTCAAAATCCGATTAAGATAAGTTGAGTTATGGTGTTTAGAGCTTCAGCCTTAGGACATTTTTTAATTTTAGTGAATTTCTACAACATCATACATCAGAAAAATGACAAAAAAATTGAAAAAAAAAATTTCTAAATTTGAATGCAGATTTTTAGAGAATTGCTCCAGAAACATTTTGAGGCATGCCACTTCAAAATCCGATCAAAATAAGTTGAGCTATGGAGTATAGAACTTCAGCATTGGGACATTTTTTTTCGAAATTTAGCAATATCATACATCAGAAAAATGACAAAAAATTTGAAAAAAAAAAAATTTCTAAATTTGAATGCAGATCTTTAGAGAATTGCGCCAGAAACATTTTGAGGTATGCCAATTCAAAATCCGATCAAAATAAGTTGAGCTATGGAGTTTAGAACTTCAGCCTTGGGACATTTTTTAATTTTAGTGAATTCCTATACCTGTATCACATCAGAAAAATGACAAAAATATTGAAAAAAAATATATTTATAAATTTGAATGCAGATTTTTAGAGAATTGCGCCAGAAACATTTAGAGGTATGCCACTTCAAAATCCGATTAAGATAAGTTGAGTTGTGGAGTTTAGAACATCAGCCTTCGGAATTTTTTGAATTTCTACAACATCATGTACCAGAAAAATGACAAAAAAATTGAAAAAAAATATATTTCTAAATTTGAAAGCAGATTTTTAGAGAATTGCGCCAGAAACATTTAGAGGTATGCCACTTCAAAATCCGATTAAGATAAGTTGAGTTGTGGAGTATAGAGCTTCAGCCTTGGGGCGTTTTTTAATTTGTTTGAATTTCTACAACATCATACATCAGAAAAATTAAAAAAATTTTTTTTTAAATGACTTTCTAAGTTTAAAAGCAGTTGTTTTAGAGAATTGCGAAACAAAAACAGTTAGATGTATGCCACTTCAAAATCCGATTAATCCGAATTTTTTCAACATCATAACATTAAAAAAATGTAAAAAAAAACAAAATAGAATGATCCTGATCAAGGATATATATACTTTATATGGTCGGAAACGTTTCCTTCAGTTTACATACTCTTCAACGAGTCTAGTATACCCTTTTACTCTACGAGTAACGGGTAAATTAAAGAAACGCAATAGTCTTCTGAATCGACTGTCAGATACCCTTAACGCAATAATGCACAAAACATAAAGTAAATTTAATCATAATTATACCATAAATTAATATTTATTCTCTTCTACTTTAAATACTTTCAATGCTTTAAATGGTTCAGCCGCCATACCGACCGATTCTGGATGAGTCGTATCTGCTCCTGGTCTGAGACATGGGTTCTCCAATGTCCCCTACTTCTCTTGTTTGGCCATAGGATCTACTTCCTGCCAGATCATAGGACCTTACTCCCGTTTGATCATAGCTTCTTCCTCTCGACAAGTCAGAGGACCAATTCTCTGGTTGGTCATAGGATCCACTTCCTGTTTGCTTATAGGACTTACCAGCTATTTGATTATATGATCTACCAAACGTTTGATCATAAGATATACCTCCCTTTTGATCATACGGTCTACTTTCTGTTCGATCGTAAGATGTTCCACCTCTTTGATCAAAGGGTGTACCTCCCTGTGGCGGTTGGTCATAGGATCGCCCACCGTACAAATCCATGGCATCGTTTTCGGTTCGCTCCATGTTTATTTGGGGCTGCAGACAGGTGCCCTCGCAGGCCGTCAGGGTGCGGAATCGGTTTCTATTCTGATCACAGTTGTCCGTGGTGAAGATCTTGCACTCGTGATCTTCATGGTCATAGAACCAGAAATTGCTCACCACCTCCGGTTTGTCGAAACAGGGACGCGTCGAGGCATATGGCTTTTCAAAGCAATAGTCTTGAATCACATTATAGTTGCCATTGCTATCGCCGGCAGTGCCCTCCACATCCTCCTCCTGACTGGGATATCGTCCTTTATAAGGAGAGCGAGGCGTGAAGCTAGGAGTATTGTAATCATTGTAATCACTAAAACCGGGTTTATTGCCCACGATTTTGTCATTGCTGTAGCTATTTGTCGGATGAAAGCCCTTGCCATAACCACCCAAATTGTCTAGTGGATTATAAAGAGGTCGCTGTGTATTTTCTATCTGCTCGAACGGTAAGTTTGGGGACTCCTGTGCGTTATCTCTAGGGTTGGGAGGAGATTTATCTGTCCACATGTTATAGGGCTTTCTATTCCATGCCTGGTTGCCCGAGCCTGGACTGTTCTGCTCCTGTTTACTGTTCCAAGAGGGGGTTTTACCCATGTAACCTCCCTGATCAGTCTCTCCGAAAACATCTGGTTCCGGGAAGCCATCGAGTTCGCCATTATCCGGAATGGTGCCACCACAATCAGCTCCATTGCACTCTCGAGTTTCCTCGAGGGGTATTCGCATCACAGACAAACAGCGCTGCCTGGCCTGCGGATTGTAATAGTTCCGTGTGCGAGTGGACAATCCTCGGCCGCATGTCTTCGAACACGGTGACCACTCGCCCCAGTTGCTCAGCTGGCACTCGGCCATTGAGCCACCACTTGGTGGATTTTCCATGCCCATCCCAGGCTCCTCTGCTTCCACTTCCTCCTCCGCTGCCCCACATTGGGTTCCTTGGCACTGGCGGAACTCCTCCAAGCGTCTATCGCAGTTGAAGTTGGCTGCTAGATTGGGACTCTTAAAGCTGCGCTGACGTTGGGAGTAGCCCTGGCCACAACGCGTACTGCAATTGGACCATTCGTTCCATGGGTGTACAGCGCACTCCAGCGGTCCTTCCTGGGGTACTACTACGAAAGATCACCAACGGGACTTGCTAGGATTACCATAGCGATCACTTACCCTCTTCGCACTCCCTAATGTAGAGTTTCTTTCGGGTCAAGTAGAGCGTGGCCAAGGGTTTCATTGTGGCACCGGAGGCATCGTAAAATGGCGAACGATGGTCGCTGGGATACGACGATGTTATGCGGCGCACCACATCCGGTGGCACTTGTGGCTCATCTGAGGACTTTAAAGGCGATAAATGTAATTCATACTGAGCTATATTCACCTACCATGTACGAAGGCCCCGAATCGGTGCCAATGTCCCAGGGATACAAATTCAACACCTTCCGCTCCAGCCAAGTACAGTTGCTCAGGCAGAGCTCCAGTCCAGCCACGCCCAGTATCCAATCGGGTGAAGGATCAATCTTGGTTGCCAGCGAGATCTGATGATGTACAGGATCCAGACGAGCATTGGCCAAGGTTGTGCCATATGTTCTCAGCCGATGGGGAATTCCAGGAGCCTTTATAATGGTCCTTACCTCGCCATTCTGTTAAAGACTCCAGGATGAAGCGAGTTTAAAGTGAGATATTTGTATGCCTACTTGAGTGTTCTCCCTGATCTCATTCTCCAGGGTTCGTGTAGCTCCGTGCTCGGCCATCTCCTTCATGCCCTGGCTAGCTCTTCCTCCGTAGGCCCAGTAGCGATAGCTGTGGCTATGGGAAGCACCAATTACCTCACCCAGGCGTGTGCGCCAGTCCTCAGCGGGAAAGTCCTTCCAATGCGTGTTCCTCGTCCACTTTCGCTCCAGAACGATCTAAGAGATACGTCACTTTATACACAATATCACCAAGGCCTGAGGAGATGTTCCAACCTCATATTTGGCTTCATCGCAGGCACAGCAAGTTTCCAGTGGCGGCGTTAAGCTGTTTAGTTCGTCGATTTCCTCGGGACAAATCCGCTTGGTCAGGAAGCCGTCGTCCAGGAACCATACATCACGATGTTGCACCACACCAGCCTTGATCAAGACACATCCGCTGTCCGGATGACGCGGCGCTATCCAGGATACCGAGATGTAGATCTTGGCATTCGTATTTGTGCTCTCCACCATGTTCTCACAGCTGGTACTGAATCGGGTGTCTGCGACTCCCAGCAGTTCAAAGTGACCGGTCATATCCCGACCACTGAATGCAGCCGACGGATCCTCAGCCTCGACAACCAAGGTGAAACTCACGAATTTCATGTTTATAGGACAGGATAATGAGACTTTTAATGATAAATGTTGAAGTGAACGCTTCAAGACCACCCGAGACCCTCACCATTGTACTGATGCTCTGGCACATAGGTCTCTGGATTGCCATCGATCAGGATCTTGAAGTTATCATCCACAGGCGATCGTGCGCCACTGGCTCCCTGGGGTATCCGATTGCAGACTCCTCGAGCCTCGGAAGACAACAAAATGAGGAGCACAATGTGGCGCAGCATTTTAGAGATCCGTACTGGGTCGAGGCTCAACGACGACTGACCAAAGTTGGCTGGTAGCCGTCTCCATTAATTGATGAGTATTTTCAATTTATCAATTATCCCGTAAATGGCGCTCTCGACTTCGACAGCTTATGGCATCTTGATTGAGTTGCCATCAATTAGTAATGGTTTGTTTTTATGGCAAGCGTTTCAATTGGTGAATTGCGCCCGGGTTCTTTGAACTTGCAACCCGGCGAAAATCACTTGTAAGCTGGCCACAGTTGCTCAATAGAACTGGGTCAAGGTTAAACTGAATCGGAATTGGAATTACCACGCGAACACAATTCTGTTTTATTTTTTTAAATACATATACATAATCTGTGGCGGGGAAAACTTGTGTAGGTAGTCTGGAAAGTTGCATATACTTGTATTGAAGGATATTCATGGGTAATGATTACATAGTTGGACTATAACTAATACTTGTAGCAGTTAATGGTATGTTCACCACCGCTCTGGATCATCGTTGCTGTTCAGGAGGCACGGCATCATCACGCACTTTTCCATGCGGACGCGATCCTTGCACTTGAAACTCAGATCGGTGTTCATTAGGGTTCGGGTGCGCTGGCGAACGGCATTATCGCCACAGGTGGCGGTGCATGGTGTCCAGGCGGACCACTCCGAGTAGCGACACTCGTCCTGCGTCTCCGGTTGCGGAGCTTTCACCACATGCCTCCGCTCCCCGAATCCCCGACCACTGATGGAGTACATGTCATCACACCGCTGGTAGCAGCGATCCAAACGTACCAGGTGCTTGGGACACGGCTTTCCGCCGTACTTCGGAGTACGGAGCACGCGACGCGTTCGCAACTGGAAGCCATCGCCGCAGGAGGCGTTGCAACTGTGGGAAACCCAGTCGGAGACCAGGCAATCAATGGCTGGAATGCCATCGTGCTGGAGTTCCTGTTTGTGGCGCGGCAGCCGACATGTCTCCTCGCACTCCTCCTTGGACTTGAATTTGTTGCGATTCGTGTCACAACGATCCGACCAATAGATGGCACACTGGTCACTCACATGGTCGTAGTACCAGAAGTTGGCCACATCGTTATCCCGACACGGACTGTCGGTGAGCTCATCGTAGCAGAAGCCGGGCACGATGGTATCGCAGCTGGGATTGGTGCAGTTAACCTCCTCGTGCAGCTTGATGTGTCGACAGGGATCCTGGCCATCATCATTGGGATCAGTTACTCCGTACACCTGGTTGTTATTCCACACCTTGCGAATGCGTTGCCGTTTGCCCTGCCCACCGCAGGGCCCCATGCACGGCGAGAAATCCGACCAGGGAGTGACCCCGCAAACCGGTGGTATGTAATCCTCTCTCCTCTGACTGTAGCTCTCGAAGTTGCGGAATATGGAGCGTTTCTCAGCGGATCCACCTCCGTCGCCGCCGCCCTGTTCCTCCTCCGGCTCTCCAGCAACATCCGCGTTCTCAATGTCCCCACCGCATTCCATTGCCTCGCAGATCTTGGTCTCATGCAGACGCACCTTGCTTGCCTTCTGACACTTCTTCTTGGCCTTCTTGTTAAGGTAGTGCCGGGATCGGGTCATCTCGCCGGTGCCGCAGGTCACGGTGCAGGAGGACCATTCCGACCAGTCAGACAAACCGCACTGGGGATCGTCGCTGCTGCCAGGAGGAGGTGCCACCTCCGGCTCTCCGCCTTCAGCTGTCTCCTCATTGAAACCCGCGCACTTGTGTCCCACGCAGTTCTTCTCCTCACGCAGGGCATTGTTGCAACGATGGCGCTAAGGTGTCAAAATGAATTTATAGTACAGCTAAAGATCTCAGCTTCCATATTCTATATGACGCCTTAATTACCGAAGCCAGTGCTGGGTTCTTGAACTCCCGGATTCTGTACTGCTTGCCGGGACCGCACTTTGTGGTGCACTCATCCCACCTGGACCACGAGTTTGTGGCGCACTCAGGCGGCACCTGTTCCGCTGCAGGAGAAATGTATATAGTATATATATTCACAACATACTTATACTTGTATGTATGATTACATTTCACTTACAATCGGAGGACTCGCAGTTTTTCTCGTAGAGTCGTCTGCGATTGATGTGCAAGGTGGCCAGAGGTTTCATCTGGGCGCCAGTGGGATCGTAAAAGGGTGAACGGGGATCGTTGGGGAAATTGGACTTGATGCGGCGGACTACATCTGGAGGCACCTGCGGCTGGTCAGCGGACTGAAAAATATTATTATTACCTATTATTAACTATACGAAATACGAAATTAAATTAAATTAAACTACCATATAAGATGGCCCACTATCGGTGCCCGCATCCCAGGGATACAGGTTGTGCACTTTGTTCTCCACCCACGAGCAGTTGGGCAGGCACAGCTCCAGGCCGGAAACACCAACGATCCAGTCTGGAGAGGGATCCACCATTGATACGAGGGAGATCAAATGGTGGTTGGAGTCCACGCGGAATACGGCAAATGTTTTGCCCGTTACATTCGGATAGGCAATGCCCCTGGCCTTGATGATCGTGCGAATGTGTTCGCTCTGATCCTTCAGCTCACTCTCCAAGGTCCTCGTGGACCCATGCTCTGCCACCTCGCGCAGCCCCTCGCTGGCCAGCTCTCCATACTGCCAGAATCTGTAGTCCAGAGTGTGCGAAGCCCCAATGATGTCGCTGAATCTGGTGCGCCAGCTATTCGCTGGGAAGTCCTTGGGATGTGTGTGACGCGACCACTTGCCTTCAAAGGTAAGCTGAAGAAGGAAGTTGAGGAAGTTTAAGTTACCTCGATATGGTAGTAAGAGAAGAAACCCACCTCATATTTGGCCTCGTCACAGGCACAGCAGGGATCCACGATGCTGGGCTGGGTGTCAATGTCGTCCACCTCCTCCTCGCACATTCGCTTGGTGAGGAAGCCATCATCCATGAACCAAACATCCCGATGCTGCATCACTGTCGCCCTCAGCAGGATGCAGCCCTGTCCCGGACTGGATGGCGCCACCCAGAACACATCCACGCGTGTCTTCACGTTCGTGTTGGTGTTCTCCACCAGGTTTGGGCAGCGCGGACTGAAACGGGTCTCGGCGAGATCGCCGATCTCCCAGGTGCCCAAGGCATTGGGGTCACCATCGCCGTCGCCACTCTCCGAATCCAGGGCCAGCATAAAGCTTATAAAGCTCAAGCCAGAAAATGCACTGAGACTTACTGAAAAAAAACAAAGAAAAAAAAACAGGGGGGCATAAAAACCAAAATCTAGAAATTCGTTAATTTAATTTAATTCAAAGCAGCTTTATCACTCACCATTATACCTTTGACCAGGCACATAACTCTGCGTATTTCCGTTCACGGACAGCACATAGTTATCATCCACCGGTGACTTGGCTGCTGTGACTCCCGGTGGAACCCTAATGCATCCCTCGATCCGGGGAATAACTCTCGCCAGTGCCAGCACAATAGTAACACATTCCAGAGCTTTCATTTCGAAGTGCTGCAATGCAAAACTGAGTTGGAATACAAGTTTATAGATCATTTTGTGCAGCCACGTGGTTGGGGAAAAACAATTTCTGACCCCCATTCGCCCAGCACTTAATTGTCTTAATTATTCGCATTGGTATCGAATGTCAATGGCAACCAATGGACATAAACTTCCAGTTTCGAATTGAACTTGAATTCGTAGAAACAGCCTTCAATTAAATGACTTTGCGTGATCTCGCACACAGTGCATACTGCCATTTTCACAGACACTTTCCATTTCCTTTGAGATCCGAATTATGCCAGCTCAATTGCCATGCGGAACTTGAACTAGGCGGGCTGTTGGTTGTTTACCCCTTTGAAATCGGATCGCATTGCGTATACACTCCTATGTGTGTACTATGTAGACCGTCTACGTCACTGATTAAATTCAATTGAAAAACGCGCCGACTGTCTACAGCGAATTCGAGCAAAGTAGCAGTACCTAGAGGGTGAGAAAACCCCATTTCCAATGGATTTAATCATTAAACGCACTTTTAGGGCTTCACCTCGGTACTGCACTTATATTGTAAAACGCGCTTTCGCCATTTCACCAGCACAACAGGTATGATTTAGTTGTTTCGAGAAAATAAGTTAACAACAAGGTATTTCAGTTTGTTTTTGAAACTCTTGTTACCCAGTATGGATGGATCGTAAATGAAACAAACCCGAAAAATATGCTTTCAGTGGAAAATCCAAACTAAGAACTTACCCGCTGGGCGCACGAACAGCAACTGAATGCAAATTTGCTCGCGTCGATTATTGGATGGACGATGTGCATCATTCGGGACCGACGAATGGATTACATGGAGACCCCAGAGAGGGCGAAACTGCGCTCTACTTTTGCCTCCCATTTAGCTTGGTTTCCGCTACTTCCAAAGATTCGCATTTGTTGATAGAACCCATTAGTTCTCATACGCTCATTCTAAACAAACAAGCAGCACCCAAAAACACCGGGTACATTGGAACTGACTGATCCCAAATGAAAATTTCGCTTAAAGTGTGCGTTGAGTTTGATTTCAGGTTACTTTCTCGAAACAACACGTTGGATCAGTGAGAAAGTATTTTTGTACCGTTTACACTAGACGTAGTTCGCTTGAATTATTAGGAAAAAATTTTGTATATTGTTTTTTTTTGCCTTTTTGATCACATAAGTCGTTGATTTCCGAAACTTGAGCCAAGAATAGCACCGTGATGTCGCATCCTGTTCGTGGTAAGTGCGGTAACTCAAGCGCCATGCGAATGTGGGCTTCACATATCCGTTTGATCCTGGTTAGGTAACAAAGCGTCCTTGCTGAGGGCGAATGGAAAGGCAAATGATAAGCAAGCCCCTAACAATACCACTTGGGTGAGTGTAATGTGAGAGGGGGGTGTAGGGTTTTCCACAGGGCATGAATGGCTTTCATCTTTTCCCAGACCCGCACTACCACATGTGGTGGAATCTTCTCCACGCCTCCCATTCTCAAAGACGACGACAGCTTGACCAGACGTTGCATGGCAAGTCGCATTCCAGTTGGCCGTAGAACGAGTCCTGAAAAGTCGGTTGCCCAATCGCGAAACACTTCCCCGATGCGGGCTAATCCTTCGAAGAAAGTACTGCCGTGTGTCAGTGCGTGTTCATTGCCAAATCGACGGGTCGAGCCCGAGCATAAAGTGACCGAGATCGAACGGAAATCTGTGGCGGATGAGGTGATTTCCAAGCGGAACGTGGTTCCAGCACAATTGCATAAGTCAACGGCAGGCGGTGGGTATCGAATCCTTTCCCGAATTCCTTGATCCTTTCTTGATGTACCTTGATCCTTTCACAGTACCTAAGCAATTCGCAAACACTGATAAGAAATCGCATCGCCGGGTCCTTGAGTTGAACAAGTTGCGGGTCTTTGAGGCGCAGAAAGAGAAACTGGAACACTTGCAGTCCGAGTTTATGCACAAGATCCGGTTCCTGGGTCCGGAGCTCCAGAACCAAGGAGTCTTCAAGTTTGTGTCTCTGACCGTTAACGATGAATGCAAAGTCGTGGTCCACAATGATGATCTGCTTCGATTGCCCAAGAATATTCGTAAGCCTTTTGATTGTCCAAAAGCATCCAATACAATTGCATATCTTTATGTTTAGCCACCGAAAGTATCAGTGACTTGAAAAACCGTTGTCGCGCGATTGTAGATCAGGGATTTATGCTGATCTACGAACATATACCGAGTATTCAGAGGACTAAAAATGATTTTGAGGCTCGTGAAAAGCGCGAGGAAATACGGTGCAAGTTAGCTGAGTTATTGGCAAGTTATCTGCAACCGATATGCACCAGCAGCAAGTTGAAACTATTTTACAATGCTTTTTTAGAACCGAAAAATGAATTCCATTGTCGAGGAGATCGACGAGTTGTGCGGTCCAGGTAATAAATCCGATTCACCCAACAAAAGTCTCTATCGCGAGATGGCTGAGCTGCGATCCCAGAAGCAGTTGATGGAGAGTCGTTACTTTGACGCCAAGAAGGAGTACAATGACCAGATAAACCAATTGCGGGCCGAGTACGATGCCAAGCTGGAAGATCAGCTGGCCAGTCGGGATCAAGCCATGGCGGAGCTGAGGAAGAGTCTGCGGCGAAGCGAGGACGTGATCAGCGACCAGACCATGCGACTGGCCGATAAAAATTCCAAGCTGGTTACCGAGGATTCCACCATCGAGGCGCTGCGTTCCGAGCTATCCACGCTGAATACTACGTAAGTTAACCGGTCAGCTCGGTATTACAGGTTCTTGCAGATCTTTCCTTATATCGTATTTAGAAATCAGCGATTGATTCATCGTCTGGAAGACGCGGACTTAGGCATGGAGCGTGCCCGCAATTCCATCGAAAAGAATTTGGGACAGATCAGCGACCTGGAGGGCGAACTGAAGGAGGCCCGGGAGCTCATCGTCCATCTGCAGAAGCGTCCGGATGTCATGGACAAGGGCGTTATGGAGAAGGACCTCATTATTGCCGATCTGAAGCTGCAGCTGCAGAATCTTGAGCAGCACAAGAATGTCCTGAACAAGCAGGTGTGCAACGCATTGAAGCAGCATGGCGACTTCGAAGATCTGAGTGCAAGCTATGAGAAAGCTCTTAAGCAGATATGGTAACCACCTGCTTAAATATCCGCCTGTAAACTATCTGATTCAAATATCCTTTGCTTGCATCACCAGCGATCTAAAGGAGGCGCTAAATGTTACCAATGCCAAACTGGAAATACAATCCAACGATTTGTCCAGGATGCACCAACAAATGGAGATCGATCAGAAGCTGCTGGAAGCTCGAAGCGAATTGATCACAAAGCTGCAGAAGAACGAGCAGGATAACCGCTCCAAACTAGACCAAATGTACTATCAAGTTAGCGAGAAAGACACGCTGATCAATCAGGTCCGCCGATAAGGGATTTGGCTAGCCCCGCTTATGCTTATCCCTCTTCCTCCTGCAGGTAAACAACCAGCTGAACTCGAAGGAGGAGGAGTTCCGGAATCTCTTCGGGACCCTCACGCACAAGCAGACGGAGGTGAGGAGGCAGGAGCATGTCATTAAGTTGCTGAAGGAGCAGAATTCACGGGTATCCTTGTTGCGAGCCACTCAGGACGAGCGGAATGCCTCGATGGAGGAGGAAATCAAGAATCTCAAGAACACCCTGTAAGTTCATCAACCTAACCATACGAGTTTGAATAAAAGTTCGCCAGCCTGCAATTACTTTACACGAATAATCCCCCTGGCAGATATTCAATAACGTTAGGGCCATATACCGTGGAATGAGGTTACCGTCAATTGAAGGCCTTATTTCAACTGGCCCAATTTCCAAAGTATTGTGAGTAAGTGATGGCAATGCAGCGAACTTTTTGCTTAGAGTGTTAATAAAAATGATTACAATTTTAGCCGTGATTATGCCAGATTAATTATTGGCAATAATGGTCAGCATTTTTTCGAAGTTGTGCCAGCTGGCGGAATGGAGGGCATTAGAAGTGGTGGCCAACGCGAGCAAGTCGACTTTTCCAGTGAGTTTCTGCAGCAGTCCCAACTGCAAGAGCTGGAGATGTCCAAACCACGTGCTCGAATCTTTGAGCCACTGCAGCATCAGCTGTTCCCCCCCGAAAACCCAACCCCCAGTCCACGGCGTAATTCGCCGCGGCATTTAATCCGCTCGCGCTATCAACTGCAACATCCGCGTATCCGTACCACGAGTCCTCAAAGAGATGCGAGTCCCCAACCTGCCCAGCCTCCTCAGCCTGCTCAGCGATTGCGGCGACACCAGCGATCCCGAGGGCAACGCTAGAGAACCGATTTGAACAACCAACCGAACAACCTAACCAAAACCCAAAAGGCAATGCGCAACATGGAAATTCTTAAGATGCACAAACCAAATTTATTGTAATCGTTGGCCAATGGCACTTTTTTTTGTACCCACACCCACAGTAGTAAGATGTAATTGCAGAAATCTGGTTAAGTCTCGTTTAGGGCGGCGGCCTGATCAATCGTTAAGCTTCGATTGGTTTAGGAATCTGAAACTGGCACACTTAATTGAGATGATTTGGATATTTAGGGCAGGGTCGAAGTTGCAAATTGAAACATGCGTACATTTGCATTCAGATATTTGAAATACTCGTTCTTCAGGAAGTGTGGATGTTTTTTCGTTATACAAGTCCGCTTTTGCCGCTGCTGTTGCGTAGGCTCCCTAGGTTTCCTAGTAGATTATCTGGTACATGTCGGTTAGTCGCATCAAGAAGCTCGTTAAGAACGGTTCGCTTGGAGTCCCCAGATTGTGTATGCTGCCGAGGTACTCATAAATTTATTGTGTGTGTGGTGCTGGTTGCAGATCAAATAGTGCGTTTTTAAGTGAGATAAAAACAAAATAAAGTAACGAAATGGTTCCCACAAACTTTGGCTTTATACCTTGATCCCAGCCAATTGTGATAAGGCAACCCAAATGTGAAGCACCCAAATCTTTTCCAAGAGCTTGTGTCAACATTTCTCGTCTGGCTGTTAGATTTGAATTGGGTTGAGGAACTGTGTGTACTTTTGAGTCCTAACACTTTGCAGTCGACAGGCATGCCTACAGATAAGAGATTCTTCTGGCGATTCTTCGGATTCCACAAATATTTGGAGATACCTTGGTGCCAGAGCTGCTGAACATAGAGGACATGTCAAGTGCTGTGATTTGTGGTCGCGTTGAACTGTCGATGATTGCAATTTGCGTATCAGCGAAATGCAGCAAGAGTCATAAATTACATTTTGAGATAGGTATATTAATTCGTGCCAACAGATTTGTGATTTGTATGGAAGCGAAATAATTAATCAGCTTGGTATGAAATTTGAGAATAATTGAGCTGTGATATCTTGTCAACAAGAGAAGCTAAGAGGGGCTCGGATATTTATCGATACAAATATAGATATGCAAATTTCTGCTGGTACCGGTCGTCATATATAGGAATTAAGTTTGAAGTTCTATTTTTGGACCAGCTAAACGATTAGGAGCTATAAAATTCAGAGTAAACAAATTCATAAACTGACGAATTAACGAAAGTCGCCTGTCGTCAGCGTTTGGCATTGTTAACCAACTAGTTTTTGGCGAACTGGATATAGCTTCATCGCGTGATTGGGTGACTAGCCCTTAAGCGTCATGAATGCTATGAAGTTCTTGGTTACGTGAACTTGATATACTGATCTATTTAAGCTGAGCTATTGCGTTTCAGGCCTTCTTGTGTCTTGTGGCCGTCCATCTGGATACATTTGAGCTTTTGTGTTGTCTGCTGCCTGCATTTCATTTGTTGTCTTGTACCTCAAATTGGCTGTAAACCTAAAACATGGACGATGCTGCAGAATACCAGAAACTTCGGCGAAACATGCAGGGAGCTCAAGGATCGAGTGAAGGACATCCAGGATCGCATGATGGCATCAGTACTGTGATCTACAGCGCGGAAGGCGAAGAGGTGAGTGCACTGCGATTCCATTGGACATAGGACATACGGCATAACATATCCTGTGCCCTAAAAGCTTGCCATAAATTGTGAGGCGGAATCGGAGTCCTCTGGCCAGCGAGATCAGTGGAGCAGGGGAGTGGAGTTCCTGTTCTCCTGCATCGCCTTATCCGTTGGCCTCGGCAATGTCTGGCGATTTCCCTTCATTGCTCTGGAGAATGGCGGTGGCGCCTTTCTGATACCCTACGTGATTGTGCTCCTGCTGATTGGCAGACCGGTCTACTATCTGGAGGTCATCATTGGGCAGTTCTCGAGCCGTGGTTGCATCAGGGCCTTTGATATGGTGCCTATAATGAGGGGTGAGTATGATGGAATTCATTCCTGTCATGGTTGCCATTTCTTACATTCGTTCAGGAATTGCCTATGGTCAGGTGTATTCGACCGCCTTGGCCACAACCTACTACGCCTGCATTATGGCATTGACCATCCGGTATTTGGTGGCCAGTTTCAGCGAGGTCCTGCCCTGGACATATTGCCTGTTGGAATGGGGCAAAAGTTGTGTGGCCACAGGAGCCACAGCTGCCAATGACTCATCCATTGTGCAGGGGGTTTCCTCTGCCGAACTGTTTTTCACGTGAGTTTGGAGAAACATTTCGGAATGTAGAATCCTTCATTACCTACCCAAGAATTACAGGCAAACGGTTCTAAGGGAGCCGGAAACGCTGGAGGACCATGGACTGGGTACTCCCAGTTGGGATCTGGTCTTGTGCCTCTTGGCCACATGGGTGATCATTGGCACGGTTTTGTCCAAAGGCATCCACAGTTCTGGGAAAGCTTCCTATTTCCTGGCCCTGTTTCCCTACGTGATCATGATCGTACTGCTCATCCGGGCGGTCACATTGCCAGGTGCCTGGCAGGGAATTGTGTACTTCCTGAAACCCCAATGGTCCCAGCTGCTCAATCCGCACGTGTGGTACGCGGCCATCACCCAGATGTTCTTCTCACTGGCCATCTGCTTCGGAACCCTGGTCATGTACGCCTCCTTCAACGATTTCAACAAGAATGTACACAAGTAAGTTGACTCACGTATTTCATTTGTGATCACTTTTATGCTCACCCTTCCTTCCCAGGGATGTAATTATAATCACCACCATCGATTCGCTTACGTCCATTCTGGCTGGTTGCATCATCTTTGGAATTCTGGGCAACCTGGCCTTTGAGACCAACACCAAGGATATTTCGCAGGTGGTCAAGGGCGGAGCTGGCCTAGCATTCATTTCCTATCCAGAGGCCATTGCCAAGTTCAAGTACCTTCCCCAACTGTTCGCCGTGCTGTTCTTCTTCATGCTCCTGGTATTGGGCATAGGATCGAACATTGGAATGGCCTCGGCTGTGGTGAATGTGGTTAAGGATCGATTCACCCATTTGCCGCATTGGCTGCTGGCCGTGGGCGCTTCCATAATTGGATTCCTTTGTGGCCTGGTCTACATGACTCCGGGCGGACAGTTCGTACTGAATCTTGTCGACTTTTATGGCTGCACTTTTATAGCCCTGGTCTTAGCCATTGCCGAGTTGCTGGCCGTGGGCTGGATTTACGGCGTGAAGCGCATCTGCAGCGATATTGAATTTATGCTGAATGTGAAGACAGGCTTTTACTGGCGCATCTGCTGGGCCCTGGTGGCACCTGGTCTGATGTTCCTGGTCCTCGTCTACATGCTCTTCAGCTACGAACCTCTGCTGTACAGGGGTGTTCAGTATCCCCCGGCCTACTATATGGCTGGCTGGATTATCTGGGGACTGGGTGTGCTGCAGCTGCCCTTCTGGGCCTTGGTCACGATTTACCAGCAGCCAGGCAAGACTTTTGGCAGCGTGAGTAAACAGAATAGATATCTTTGGAAATATATGTATATGTATCTTAATGTATCTTAAACCCAACAGAAATTCCGAATGGCCATGCAACCCACTTCCAATTGGGGTCCACTGCAGACGCAAAAGTTCGAGGCCTACATACTCCATCGAAAACGCGAGGCGGACTTCCAGAGCCCACGTGGCGGATACTTGTTCGACAATATCTTTGGCTAATGGACCACTTTAGTGTATTTCAGTGTTACGCTTTATTATTAATGCTAAACGCGCTCCAAGCTTGCAGCTTAAGATGTGACAAAAAAGTTCGAACATTTGGTAGTTAATATATTCTTAGGCTTTAGGCTTAGCATAAGCATTGAGAGTTATCTGTTTTTAGGTTATCTAAATAATTGGATTTGTTTTGAAAAAAAAGAGCCACAGACCAGTGAATATTCAATGGTAGCTAAATGATATTGTCTTTGACTGGGTGAAATTAGGTTCTATGGCTGGGATGATCCCTATTCATTGGTTTTTTTCTTTTATTATGTTCTTTGCATTTGCGGCTCTGCTCTGCTTTAGTTTAATTATCACAGCACTTTTTGATTCTGTTGTTATTGTGCAAAATTATATAATTCTCAAATATGTATAGGCCAGGAATCTGGCATATTTGTGTATTCGGAGCAAAGACTATTTACAATTGTCATAAATGTATGCTATTATGTACGGTATAAGTCCTAAAGTGTAAGTGGCAAGCTGCAGCCAAGCAATAATTAGTCAATGTTTTGATTGAAAATCTTATTTGGCTTAATCATTTGCTTAGATATACAAAATATGCAATTTTAAACAATTGTTTGAGTTTTAAACAAATTAAGTTTAGACTTGCTTATATCTTTGGCAGATTTGTGTTAGATTTGGGCAAAGTTAGCTACATCCCCCATCCCTCCGATGAAACCCATTCAATTATATTCATTCCCCAGCTTCACAATCATTTAGGTTATTAATGCTAAGAATTGACTCTTGGTTTGCAGATTTCATAGCCTACATTTCAGCGCAAAATTCAGCGTTCAAATAAGTGATATATTGGTATACATATATAGTTCCCACTGAATCTCTATTTGTTGTGGCTAAAATGGAAGTTCTTCGCTACCAACTCACACTAGATATGGTCCTATTAATTGGGCTTGCCTCTATATGATTTATAGAAAAATCTAGCACACGATATGAAGTTACCTTGAGTACATTGTCTACTACTTAAGTAAGATGCCTAATCGCGCGTATCCTAGCACATCAATTCCCTGCAATTTCGCAGCGCTGATGATGCTAGAGAGAGTTGAAAAATTTGTTTAGGCCTAGTTAATATCGAATTAGAATCACGTAACAGGTGCAGTTTCCCTCACATTGCAGTGTTTGTTTAGCATTAGCTTAGCCATAGCTGGAGTAGGCTCCATACTCCATACTCCATACACCAGATCCACTATATACAGATACAGATAGAAAAATACGTGGCTCCGGCGCTATAGACTAGAAGGCCTGTATTGGTCGATAGAGTCCGGTGTATCCGCACAGCCGCGCCCGCAGCGCCGGAATCAGGAAGGCGGCCAGCGAGATGTCCTTCAGCAGCTCGGCGCACTCGCACACCAGAAGATACATCTTGTCGCCCTTCTGCGAGGTGCTCTTGTGCAGGGCGATGCGCCTCAGGCCCGCGGCACGTGGCAGGTACCTGAAACGGAGTGGGGCAGCAGTCAGACTTCGGATAAAGGCCACACACAATGGTGTAAAAGCATTTATAGATGGAAGATACACAAGGGGAAATCATTGCCTATAGCGGCATTTGTATTGCTTGCAAGCAAGGACTCTATAGGACTCTTAAGCTCCACAGTATCCTTGGTTGCAAGGGCAAGCATCTATAAGTGTATCTTAAATGAAATCAGTATTTCGTCAAGTGTACCTGTACAACATCCGGGCTCCAGTCCAGTAGAGCCAGTTCTTTTCGAATCGTTCGCCATCGTCGCCCTCGAAAACCTGCGAAATTAAAATTGAATTTTTCATGATGGAACCCAATCCCGTTTGGACAACCACTACAATCCCACCTTGAACACGCTAATAATGTAGCCGGTGGCCGCGGTCTGCGATTTCTTGAAGCTGCCCACCTCGTTGGAGGGCAAAACCAACGGCGGGCGGCAAATGGCGGCCACCTCGCTGTACAGATCCAGTGTGTGGGCGGCAGTGTATCTGGCAATGAATCGAGAATCGAGATTGGCGTATAATTGGGCAATTCGCTGGCCTGATTGGAGCACTCACTTCAGGGCCTTTGGCTCAAACTTGGACAACGAGGAGACGCGCAGGCCAGCATAGAAGCTGGAGGGATCCGTTTGCAGCGTATTGATCAGGTAGTACGAGATGAAGGGGAACTCGGCTGGGAAAGGTGCAATCAATATGAGACGTGTCTAGATTCGGGTTGCCCATGTTCCACTCACAACTCTTCTCCATGTTGGCCAGCAGCATTCCGCCCACTGCCGTGTTGGCCTGCTGCACTTCGGTTACCAATTCGGCGGCAATGGAGCGCTGCTTGAGCAGCGGATGCGCGAGTGGCGACTCCATCACCGGATCGATGGCCTCCAGGGGACTCATCAAGTGCACCAGGATGCACAGCTTCGGATCGGAGACCTCCAGGACACTTAGAGGGCTTGTGGCCTTACCATCGGCACTTAAGGCGGGCAGCTGCAAAAGGAATCTATACTTTAGTGCCCGCTAATATCTCTTAGAGAGTTCCAACATAGTTTCAGAATATTTCAGTTTTTGGGTAATTAAAGCATAGGAAGTAAAATACTCACAGGAATGCCAGCGGGCAGGAATCGGTCCACACTGTGCACGGGAATGATGAAGCAGTCGCGATCCAGGGTGGCCAATGAGATAGGTTCCGCTCGTGTGACTCCCGAGTTGGCGCCGCCACCAAAGTTCACTGTAACGCACAGTAAGATACCATTAATGGAGTCATCGAAAAAGGAAGTGCCACTACAGTTAGCCATATAGTTAAAGAAATATTCAAGAAACGTTTCAGCTTTCGGCAAGCCTATGATGATCGATTCAAAGCTTTGCCTCAAGATCCTTTTATCAGGCTGCGATTAATAGGCGATTAGCTGGAGTTACAGGATGTCGATGCCAGAGCTCTTGTTGTGGTGCAAGTGATACCCCAGAAGCTTGCGGCGAAATACTGAAAGCGTGGCGTCTCTGAGAACGTGTCTAGCTTTCAGTATTTTGACTAGTTAATCACCAAACATTCAGATGTAGGAAACAGGAAACACAAAACAGAAATAAAACCGGAACCGGAACCGGAAACGGAAACAAGACAGAACTTGCAACAGTCGAATTGAAGTAGTTGTAGAATATCCGGATTGGAAATCGGTACTCTGGAGGGTTAGCTACGTAAAACGTGCAACAAACGTTAATTGGGGAAACTTTGGGTGGTATTAGGGTGTTTTTTTTGGGGGGATTGGGGGTGCAACATATAGGGCTTGTGTTTGAGTGTGTCAGTGTGTTTTATCTTTATGGTTTTCGGGGTGAGCTGGCTGGCAAATGACATTAGTGTTGATCGAGTTTTGGGCAGCAACAACAACAACTATAGTTGAGATCACATCAGTTGGGATCAGATGGGGCTCTCAATTATATTTCGATTTCAGGGGGGACTCAAACCTTGCCGCGTGGCTGCAGCTGCGGCCGCTAGCAATGTTGTTGTTGCCGTGGCCACCGTTGCATCAGCGTACCCCAGTGTTGTTGCTGTTGCTGTTGCCAATAGATGTTGCTGCTGCTGCTGTTGCATTTGCTGCTGCAGCTGCTGCTGCAGTTGCTGCTGTAGTTGCTGCTGCTGCTGCTGCTGCTGCAGGCGGATCAAACTGTTACTGGCGCTGTTGCCGTTGCTGTTGCTGTTGCACTCCGTACCCGGTCCGCTGCTGCTCCAGCGCATCAGGGAGACGGACGGCCGGCGGTCGACCAGCGGCTGAGGAATGTCCAGCTCGTAGGGCAGGTTGCCGGGCAGGGCCAGCGAGGGGGCGGTGCTCGAGAGCGGGGTGCTCGGGATGCCTGACAGGGCGCTACATCGTTCTGAAAATTGGAGGCTCTCGATACTTTATATGCACACAAAGAACACAAAAACACACACACAGCAAACAACACAGAACAACAAAACAACAAAACAACAGAACAACTGGAAACCTGAAAAACCGGGCGGGGAAATGAGGGTGTGTTTGGTTAAATCATAATCTGTGTTTCGGTTGCTGGGTTGATGCATTCGAGAAGGGACAACGGCGGCTTAAAGGATTCTCTAGGAATATTTTAGGTTTGTTTGTTATCCCCATTTAAATGAAAGGATAAGTTGAATAATTTACATTACACTTCGGATAATTTGTAGCATGTTCAGTGGTCTATTAAATGCAACTGGAGCCCAAGACAGACATTTTAAAAATAATCAAAGGACATATTATGACCACCGTTTACTCTGAAAATTGAATTCCTACGCGTTTGCTGAGTTTTTTAACAGTGTGCTCCAAAACTAGACACATTCATCAGTTCCGTGGGTTAGTAGGCTCTGCTGCCAATACGAATGTTGCCAAAGAACTCCTTTGGACCTTGGGTTTTGGCCTAGATTCAAGGCCATTGCCAAAGCGGTTGGGTGTGCAGACATTGTTAAAGGGCCGAAATCAAATGGTAACTTACATACGCCCTTGTTTTGGCCTTCTGTGCGAGCTCTGTGCCCCAAGCCAAGCCAACTGGAAACTGCAAGATTAGCTGATGCTGGCACTAACACACTCACCTCTTCACACACACTATCACGCACAAAGTTGCACGAATCACGAATGCAATAAAGTTCCATTAGGTTAGTAATGCGTGAAATATTTAGCAACAAATAGCATACGAAAAGTGTTTCATTTCATTTGTTTTACTCATTTTCATCTAATTCCATTTTTTTAAAACCCAGGAAAATGTACAATTAAACATCAAAGAATTATCTTCGTTGGAATCTATTAAGCAATTTGTAATATAGGTATAATATGGCATACAAGTTTATCTAAAAAGCTATTTATGTATTACACAAATTAAAAGTCATTATCTAATCACTGCGAAAGGACAAATATTTCTTATTGATTATTTAATAGACCGCTAATGAACACGTTGAAACTTTGCCGTACCAGCAAATGAGTCTCAATAAGGCACTTTTTCCCACCATTCAATTAGTGATACACTCAGTCTCACGTTTTATAAATAATAAACCACGCCCCCTGCTAAACTGACCCCCAATTAGGCCGCCATAATAAATGGCCCCACCTGTCAGGAGGCCGTTTGTAGAATTGATAAAAACATTTCAATTGAATGCCCTGCAATGGCTGGAATGCAAATGTCTGGTTAATGGAGCACAAGTAACTGAGCACAAAGGGCCAAAGTAATCGGGTGGGACAGAGAGGGAGCGAGGTGGCGGCCAGGGGAGGGAGTGAGACGGGAGAGTGAGCCATGTTTGTGAATGATTGAAATGTACGCTAGGTTTAAATGCCGACACTAAGCAATCGAAAGAGTGAACAGGGGTCTCTAAATGAAATATTTAGAAAGAGATTTTACTAGATAGATACTAAACTTTTTTTTATAATATGATATGTGGAAATATATACTACTTAGCACAGATAGTTCGTTTATAGACTTTTTATATATGTATTTGTAAAAATATTAGCTTGTATCTGTTCATGTATTTAAATTATTCAACTTCATATATTTTCGATGTTCGCTGTTCACTCTTTCGATGGTCTACTGTACTCGCAGTGGCGTTGTTGTTGCTGCTGCTGCTGCTGTGCTTGCGTTTTGCAAGGCAAACGACAATTTACCTTCGCCCACATCGTAGCCAGGTCGGTTGGGCGAGAAGAAGAGGTGGGTCCTGTAGTGGATCTCCTCCGGCTGCTGGACAAGTCCCATGTCCCGGGATCGCTTCGTCCTGTTGGCCTTCGACTGCAGCTTTCCCCCGCCGCCGCCCGACTTGCTGGCCCCCTCGCGGAAATTCTTGCGAAACATTAAATTCATCGTGAGTTCGGTGGCTCGAATGCGACTGGTGGGGTGAACTTGTTGATGTCGGTGGGTCGTGTGGTTGGAGGTTGGTGGATGGTGGGTTGCTGGTGGTGCTGCTGTTGGTGGTTTGCTGTGGGTGGTTTGCTGTGGGTTTTCCTAATTGCTGACCGCTCGGGATGGCTTGTGTTTATCTGTGTGCGTGTGCCTGCTCGCTTTATTATCTGATTTGTCTTTGCTGGGTTTTCATTTGAATAGTTTTCGTCGAGTGGCTTTTTGTTTGCCCTCTTATTTGGGGCAGTATTAAAATTAATTTCTATTTTAGAAGGCAGCAATGTTTGCATTTAGCAAGGCCGCACAGTCAGAATGAAGAGATAGTTAATTATTTATAATGGCTTTCCGCGCTCGTTTTTGAAGTGTATTTATGTCGACAGACTAGATTATTAATTTAATTGCAAGCCATAGTATTCTCTTCCATTATAATTATGTCATGAGTTATGGTGATATTCATCTTTAAACAATTTACTTCCCGCCATAGTGTTGGCTTTCTAACTCAGCCCGCACACGCGAATTCGCACTTAGCCCCTTGAGTTCGTTGACTTGTACATTCGGCCAACGAAAAGGCAGCAAGTCCTTTTTGGAGCTAAGTGAGCATACACAAGTGTATGTTCATACTGCTCATGAGTGTGTGTGTGTGCAAGTGGACGCGAGTGTGGCAACGGCAAGCGGAAATTGCCAGTTTCCGGCTCAAAATTACTTAGCCCAACCGAACCGAACTCACTTGCAGGATACGCGAACTCGGGCTCAAGTTTCCCTACAACTCGTAAGAAGCGCAAAAAGTACAAAAATGAAGGGGGAAAAAATTGAAGGCGAAATAAAATTCCAAATGCTCGGCAATTACTACAGTGTGTTTGTGCGAGTTTAATTAGTTCAAGACACGGCGCAATTAGTTTTATGGTCGCTTATTGATCGCCTTGGTGCGATAAATTTAGACAGCTGTTTGCTGGAACAGCGAAGGGGCGTGGCAGGACGCGTGGGCGGGCTCAAATTGAAAAGTGCTTAGCCAACAATGGGTTGGCAATTTATAAACAGCTTGCTGGCCTTAATGAAGCATTAAAAAGGGAAAGCTCAACGGAAAATTTGTAACAGTCAGCAAAGCAGAATTAAGCGAAATATAACTTTTCCAATAATACTCTTTTCACTTAATTGAAATCTTTTACAGCTGGCAATAATTCAAAAATACAAAATTCATCAAGCTGCATGAAAGTTAATAATTGGATTTGTCTTTGCTTAAAGAAATATAATCACGGACGACGGAATTCATAATTTATTGAACTCAAAGTAATATATGCCAGATTGTAATTGTGTTCATCTTCATAAAGTCACCAAATGATTAGTCCATAAAGTTGAAGACAGTAAACTTGCTGCCACCAAGCCAATCATTATATTGCTCATACGCCCCGTGGCCCTTCTACTTAAACTGATGCCTCAAAGGGCATTACTTGAGCATTATTGCTTTGGCAGGCACTTGGGCATTGCTTTTGGCAGCCAATTCCCTTCATGATGATACCCCAGCTAAGTCCATGAACAAAGTCAATCGCGTTGGCCATAAACTCACGCGAAAATCAAACGCAGAGCCACAAGGAATTCGATCGTAAACATTTTTACACCACTTTCAAGTGGCTGGGCCAACTATGAGTATAATTAATTCGCTTTACGAGCCCGGCTACAGCAATAATGTTCATCATTAAGTGGTGGTCTCATATCACATTGAACAGCGGCGAAACAATCAAGCAGCCAAGACAAGTGTGAGAGGTAATAGCCCAGCCGAGAAGAAAATTGTGCGGAATTTTCTGGCCAAAAATAAACAAGCTAATGACACACAAATTTTGCGTTCTGTGCTTTTGCCAAAATACAAAACGAGCAAGAGGTAGAGCTACGAAATTTATAAAATTAGATTTTCATTTGGGGGGAAATTGCGCGTGCTGGGCTGGTTGCTTTATGTATTTTTTTGTACTAGGTCATGGGATTCGTGGCCCTTGACCTTGGCTACAATTTAACCCTACAACTGCATGTGTTGTGTGCATATATTTTTGCTGAATTATTTTCATGAATGATTGCGTATCGTGCAGGATCTGCGTGTAGCCATACATACATATAGATACATGGGCCCGTTTATTTAGAGATAAACAAGCTATAAGCTGAAATGGTAAATTAGTTCAATATTGGTTAAAATGTATTATTTAGCATTCCATATTTTCTCGCTTTTCTACAAACTTAAAAAAATAGCAACTGTATCTACAATGTTATGAGCTTTTTTGTTTTCCACGTTTCAATTTCACTCAGTTATTTGCTGTATTTGTGTCACTTGACTGATGAACACTTTACTTTTGGTTATTATTTGCTCCCAATGGGCATTTATCAAGCTATATTTCTTATGTGCATATATGACATTATATTTTGCATTTTTATTTGGCCCACATTTGTGGCTCTTGGCCGACTGACCAACCAGTTTCGACTGGTTTCAGGTGGGCAAAAGCAAAAACCACGACGCACACAGGACACAGTGGCACTTTTGTTGTTTTGTAACGAATTTATATTTGCCCGGGGCGTATGCGTAATATTCTAATTAGTTTAATATCTCGTTCGATTGCCCAAAGCGCGACACTTATTTATGAGTCATCCATCGTTCAATAAATAGAGCGATTGATAGACCTTATCGGCCATTAATGCTTTTCCAATATACACACGCTCTTTTCGGTGACCCGCAGGGTATATGAAAACCATACGAAATATGAAAACGTTTTGCCTGCGACGCGTCAAGAAATCAACTGGCACTTGGAGAGCTTTTCCGCTTTTCCACTTTTCCACTTTTCCGCTTTTCCGCCGACGCGACTGCTGACAAGGCGATGTGGTCGTTGTCAGATCGCTCATCGTTCGCTTGGCGAGCATTTTTCATTAACTTTGTTCAACTTATGAAATTTTACAGCCAAGAGACATCGCCGCACTGCGAAAAGCTCCTGTTCGTCACTTGTTGCGTATACGCCCTGTATGTTCTTTATTATTATTAATCAAATATTTATTGCAATCTATATATATCTCATGTGTGTGAATTCACTGTTATGTCCTCACGGCTCGACCAATTAATAGCAAGTGAAAATGAAATCGACAATGCTCCTGAAGCAGAAAACAAAAAAAAAACAGCGAGAAAACGTAAAGCTGCCCACAAATAAAAACCCACAGACTGAGTGCTCACTTCTGTGGGCTTTCCTATTAAAATGTAGAAGTTCGAGGGCATATTAGTTTTTTAACTGGTTGGTCAGGGAACATCTAACATTTGTTATTCTATTTTTGTGGCTGAAAGTAGAGCCAGGAAATTAGATACACCTTTAAATATATAAAACCAAGTTAATAATGGGTACATATGGTTTCGATCCACGATTGGCTAGCTTTTCGTTTCTCTTTTTATACCTTTCATGGCTCCTGTTCACCGCTGAGTCCTTTGTATTGGTGTGTTGTTTTTGTGCTGCGTGCTCTGTTCTCCGCTCGACTTTTTATTGATTATGTGTTGTTCCTGTTCCTGGAGTTCCCCCCGCCGTCGTATATTCCTTCCTTTGCCTAAAAGTTTTCCCACGGAAAAGTTTTACTTTGGCATCCGGAAGTCATTTGCTTTTTGCTGTTCGTCCTGTGGCTTCAGCCTAATTGGTTGCTCATAAGTTTCTGTTTGTATAGGGTATATATAACTCTGTACGGCACTTAGTTGCTTTCATTCCGCTTGGATTTTAAAATGAAATCAAAGTTTATTGACACCAATTTACCCACCAGACTCTGTAAAGTGATTTCGACATTTTCTGAATGCCTATAATTCCTTTTTACGATATTTTTGGACACATTCGTTACCATGATTAGCATGGCCCTTGAATAATCCTTGAATATTTATTTCTTGTTTTAGACTTATGTCTACGACAAAGGGAACTATAAATTTGGTTGGTATTTCTTGTGCAGCTGGCCAAATCCCAGGCACAGGTGCATCCGCATTGGAAAGGCTTTCATTTTTGTGGCTTCAACTGGCAGAAGAGCTCGAGGGACCCGGTGTGATTTACATGTGTCTAAGCCGCCTCCATTTCCCATTTTCCATTTCCAAGCTCCCAGGACCCCGGTAACCGCAGTTGTCATGCAGTGGCGCCTGGCTATGTGAGATGACCCTGCCACAACAGACCAAACTGTCTAACCCCCGACCATTTCCCTACACTTCTCTCTGCTGGCTGCATGCAACATTGCTGCATTTTGGACTGCGGCAAACAAACACGCAACTTGCCGCTAAGTGCTCGGCTTAAACAAAGTTAATCAGCCAAAGAAATGCAGTACAAACCGCAATGCTGCACTCAGAGAAATGGGGTGTATCTACTGCCAAACCATTGTGCTCATTGAAGTGGTATTTACCTATATATTTGTTCAAGCTTGTGTTACTTTTAGATATCCTTTGCGGTTTGCTTCTAGTTTGATGTCAGCATAGATATTCACCGCGGACTTGATTTAGTGCTTTATTAAATAGCGAAAGCAGCGAACATGTTGGCCTAGTGGCACGTACTTAAACCTGTGATCCAAATGAATTTCCCCGCTTCATAAATTTAAATGAATTCCGTTTTCATGGCCCACTTGAGTGGTCCTCATGGGAAGAAGTGTCGCCATTTTCCACCCATTGTGAATCTTTAGTTGGCTTTTAAGTTGCCCGTTATGAGCTGCTCAAAGTGTGCATAAATTTGCTGCTATTATGTATGAATTTCCCAGCCTTTTAGTTTTATTTGGCCGTGCGTTTAAGCCGGTCGTAACTTCCACCGTTCCAACTGTTTTTGATTTTCCCCAGGAAGTTGGTGCTTGGCACGTAATTGTGTCTAGCTATTTTCCCCAACTAAAATTCCCCCGGCACTTCGACTCTAATTTAGTTTCTAGTGCGTTGAGTTGGCTTTAACCAGGCAAGTTTTATCTTAATTGTTAGTTATGCGTTGTGGCTTGCTGATTCAGCCCACATTTAAATGGAAATGAAAGCGCTGTTCCTAATTTATGACATTCGTTTAGACAATGTCTAGTTTGGTTATTAAATCTGCCAGCGATGACAGTCACAACATGACTCCGTCAACCCATGTTTACTGGGTGTCAGTGGGTGTGCTCGAAGTGCTGTTCATTAGTCTAGATGGATGTGCATTTCATGTTGATAGATAAATGTGATTTAGTTTATGAATTGTTACCCACTTTATCATTACACTTTATGGTAAAGAACGTCTAAGTGAATATT